ATAATAGTCTTTAATATTAGCTCATTATTTTCATTTTTAATATCTCTCAGATACTATTTCTTATTATAGTATGCCGTGTAACATTTTAAATACATTTTTGACTAAATGTTACTGTTAAATTAATTTCTGCAAGTAACTTCTTTGTTCTTTGAAGCATAAAATTGCAATGTTATGAAAATTGGATGGAGAGACCAGTATGCCTGCTTTAGGAGCAAATGGCTTAGAACAAAAATAGACTTTATTACATTCTGTGACTTGGAATAAGTTATTTAGATGAATACAATTATATTCTAAAAATACTCAAATTTAAATTGTTAACATTTTTTTAATCTGAAAATTGTCAGTATATACACATACTACTTTGAGTTTTGAAATTCTCCTTTCTCTCATGGTTGTATCAAGCATTATTAAGCTGAGTTTCTTACATTCACTGTGATAAGGCTTAAGATGATACAAATATTTTTAAGGTATAATTTATTCTATAATAATAGCAGCTAATCCTAGCATTTACTATGCGCTGTACATTTCTAAGCTCATAGCATACAGAGTTCATTTAATCTTCAAATAAACCTGTGACAATAGTACTATTCTTTTCTTCAGTCTTACAGATGAGAAATTAAATCACAAAGTGGTAAATAATCTGCTCAAGGTCACACAGCTAGTAAGTATTGGAGCTGTGATGTAAATGTAGATATTCTAATGTCTGCATCTATGCTCTTAATAACTGCATGCAGTGTAAGCCTAAATTAAGAAAGTGTAGTCCTAAGCGCAAACTAAAATCCACAAGGGTTTAAAAAACAGTCTGTTGCAGGTATATTCAGAAAAGGGATGGATGAAAACTAAAATCTATTTGTCATAAGAAAATGCTGTTAAAAATCAATCAGTAATAGATGGTTGGATGATTACAGGTACCACAGCTTATTCAGCTGTACGGTGGAGTACTGTGTAGCTTTAAAAAGAAATGATCTTTGTAGACAGCTTTAAAGTGATTTTGAGAATATAAACAAAGAACAGTGCCCACAGTTTTCTTTTGTTTAAAGAGTGGAGGAAAGATAACAATGGAAGAATAAACCAAGTTAATAGAAATAGCTGTCTAGCAGGAAGAGGGAGAGAGGATGGAAGCTAGCTAGCTGCATCTTTCAGGATGTACATTACATCTCTTTTATACTTTAGAGTTTGGAATCAATCATGTAGATGTTTTATATCATTTAAAAAAAAGAAACAGTTTCTAAAGATAAAACAGCTGAATCTATTACGTTGGTGGCATAGTCATCTAAGAAGAATATTTCAAATAATTTTAACACATAGTATTTTACATGTACATCCCTGGTGGGATATAACATTAGAACAAAAAGAAAAGAAATTTTATATTACACTCAGTAGTATTGTTATTATCAATAATATTGGTATTGCCACTTTGAAACTCATGTGTGTGTGTGTGTGTGTGTGTGTGTGTATGTGGTGTGTGTTTGTAGACATACACATAGTAGGTAGAAACAGATAATATTATTAGAATCTGGGATTTTTGAGTGTAAAGAGATAATATAGGAGCATTTCCTGTGGATTTCCCACAGGCATCTCAAATTCAATATTCAAGATGGAGCTTCGTTATCATCATTGGCATCGTAATTGTATCCATTTGACCAAACAGGAAAATGAGGAGCAATGCAAGACTTTTTCACTTTTGGTCTACTGTTCAACATTTCTTCTATGTATTATCAATTCTACTTGATTTTTCTCTTGATTTTTGTCCCACAACCCCTATCCCCAAGTCTGATAATGACATTTTTCTGCATATTTTTCAAAAACTATCTCATCTACTTTAGTTATGGTTCCTGACCTTTTTACAGATAGTAAAAAAGACTTCATTTTAGCCCTGAAATATTTGTGTCCTTTACACAATAGTCACTATACTCTTTGTATTTAAAGAATAGGCATAATGACAGAGCACTGGTTTGTGTTCAATAATGCATTTAAATGAATTTATATTTTGTGTCATAATGATCTAAATATGTATATATGACTATGTTGAAATATTTACTCCATCTGATTCTGCTTTGTTCATACGTAGAGTCTCTAACCCCTTATGTTAATTCTGACACTCCCCCCCACCCCCCAAAAAAACCTATAAGGATTCCTATGGATTGGGGCCAGCCACAGCTAGCTATATATTGCCATAAATTCTCATCAAATCCAGTTTTATTAAATATTTAAATCAGTTTTATATGACATAGTTTAGGGTTAACTAGATGTATAAGATTTCTTTAAAAAATTATAGTCAGCAGTCACCTCGTCAGACATTTTTCCTTGCACAGATACAACCACTTACATTGCTTGTAGCAAGTTGTTTTGTATGTGCCTTTATTTGTAAATAACACCCCTGTGTTGTTCCTTCATGAGTTGTTAATTTTAGGTAATATCTGTTGAATTACCCTTTTTATCTCCTCTGTACCTTCATCCTCCAAGTAAAATCATATTAACATTTTTGTTACATCGGTATTCAGTGTTTATATTATGATTCCTAAATTTCCTATTTCAAAGCCGAGACATGTAGTTAGCTGTGATTACTTCTCCTTTTCTATCAAACATTGTGTATTCCCTGGAAGTAACAATTATGTCATTTTTCAGTGTAATTTTGTACATACACTAAACTCTGACAGATGTCTGAGTTCATTGTGTTCAGACACACCAGGTATTCTCTTCCAGAGCCATGCTCACTCCTCTCTCGCAGCTGCTACTGTAAGCTTATAGCTGCTGCTGCTTATTCCTCATGTCCTGAAATTTTACAATGATGTACGTTAATGTAGGTTTATTTAAATTCATCATGTTAATATATGGGCTCTGATGGTCCCTTTTAGTCTGGAAGCAATCCATTTTGGACCTTTTGTAGAAAATACACTGTCTTTCTTCTCCTGGGGTGGGGGTCAGTTGCCCAGATATGCATAACTGATAATATCTGGCACTCTGTTTCTTAGACTTTCCACCAATCTAATTATTTTCTTGTTTTCTTTATTTCCAGTCATCTTTATTTTCCTCTTCTTTTTAGCTTCCCCTTTCTTCTTTCCAAAGGCATATAATTCTGCTAATTCCTGTGGTTTTGGGAGAAGAGAAGGGAAGAGAATATATAAGTCTGGTTGCTTCTTAGTGTTCTTTGATATAATAGTTTTCTCTTCAGTTTCTTGTTTCCTGCTTCTAGAGTTTGTCTCTCATTCCGTTTGTCCTTTTAAAATTATTCCCCACAACCCCCAAATCATTTTACTGTAATCTTAGTGAGGTTTTAGGAGGGAGTACAATTAAATGTGTATTTTATAGTCAGCAGGTGGCCTTACTTCCTACTCACAGATAAATACTGTTATTATCTACCTCTAAGACTCTTTCAGTGTACTAGCTTATCTGCATATTCTCCTCCGCGTTCGTCTCTTCTCTTCCCAGATCTAATTGTTTCAAAAATTAAACCTTATTTAGGCTAGATTTAATTTTGTTCTGAATCTTATCTTTTCTTGCTTTTAATCAGGAATTAGTATCTCTTAGTAGGTAGCATAGTGCTTGGCTTACATAAGGGTTTTTATACTGTTAGTCTTTATTTTGGACATTGTCTTCATTTCTTACTTAAAATTGGAGAATGTTGTCTATCATGGGTGCTACTTGCATACCTTGGGAATGTTTTGAAACACATGAAGGTGTTTGTGATTGTCATAGTGTTTGGAGCACACTATTGGCCTGCTATGAGCAGATGTAGGAGTTGTTAAAAGCCCCTCAATGCATGAGATAGTTGTGCATGGTAAATGGATGTCTCGCTCAAAATGCCAGTGGTCAATCTTGAGAAACATTGCTGGAGTCATAAGGGAAATTTGGCTCTGCCCAGAGGCTAGGACTTGCTTACAACTCTCTCAGATGGTGTCTGTTTTTTTCCTACCTCTCAAGCCCGTGGGCTCGAGTGTGAAGTAGATGTCCTTCTTGATCCTCACTGCTTTTTCCTGACTATTGCTTTCCTCTCTCCCTAAAAAGTAAAACAAAAGTAAACAAACAAAAAATCCCATCCGACTATGAATTTCATGCTTACCAATTTTCATTATAGAGGGTACATTTCACTCATATAAAAGTAATTTCTGTTTCAAGTTTTCTTATTCGTTTTTTTTTTTGAGATACAGTCTCACTCCATCGCCCTGGGTAGAGTGCAGTGGCATCATCATAGCTCACTGCAACCTCAAACTCCTGGGCTCGAGTGATCCTCCTGCCTCAGCTTCCCAGGTAGCTGGGATTACAGGTGTGGGCCATGACGCCTGGCTAATTTTTCTATTTTTAGCAGAGATAAGGTCTCGCTCTTGCTCAGGCTGGTCTGAAACTCCTGAGCTCAAGCGATCCTCCTGTCTTTACCTCCCAGAGTGCTAGGATTACAGGCATGAGCCACTGTGCCCAGCCCTCACGTTTTCTTATGTAACAGTCAATATTTATGCCTAATAATCTGTATAATTATAAATGAAATATGATTTCTAATTTAATAAATTTATAGTATATGTGGAAAAATACCATTTCCCTTCCAGTTTATTTATAAACTTAAATGTAGATTTAATTTGGACCATGAGTATAGGTGTTACTAACTTCCTTTTTCACTATTAAAATCCAATACTTTTTAAGTGACTTTCGCTGCTTGTGTTAGTACAACAATCTTTAAGGGTTATTTGTTTAAATTGCAAGGGTAACAATTACATTAACATCATATGATATCTATGTTATCACAATATGATTAAGTATAATTCTATGCAAGATGTATGTCTAAATATTAATAGTATATACTTTACATCAAACTTAAATTTTTAAATGGATTATTTTATGAAAGTGTGTCTAATGCCAGGATATCGCATACCTCATGTACTTGTATGTTTTTTCAAATTTGGTCTATAATATTTAATTTAGTGCATTGTTTTCTTACCTGTGTTTTGCATGAAGCAATGACTGACAGTATTGAGTAATCATCAGTGTGTCTTTCTGGTTTTTAGGTTGTGGAAAATGCCCTTAAAGTGAACCCAGTATTAGGTCCACAAATGTTTCAACCAATTTTACCCTGTGTTTTCAGGGGTATTATAGAAGGGGAGGTAAGATTTTTCTTAAGCCTCTAAGGGTAGTATTGGACTCCAGCATTCTATTTTTAATAGTTTTCCTTCATGGGCACATCATTTGTAAAAAGAAAGCTTTGTCATTTGGATCATCTTAAATTAAATTATGTAAATTATCAGCTAGTTATATAACTTTGCCTTTTCCTACTCCACACAGGAAAGTGTAGATTTTCTTTGACATCTCATCTTTTTAACTCATATGCATGCATATTTACACATGATGATTTGAAGTAGAGGAATGGTTAATGGCTTAATTCCAATGCTTGACTATTGGGAATATGAGAGGGGAAAATGGTGCTAGTAGTGTTATAGACTGAATGTATTAGGTTAAATATGAAATGTCCGATTTCCTTAAATGTTAAGCTTGACAGTTGATATCTTTGACATTTTACTTTGATACTTCTTGTTTTGTTTTTATTGTGAAGGTACATCCTCAGTCTTTCAAATGCAAGGTTTGGCTAGTGATTATCTTTCAAATTTTTTTTAGATCAATTTTTGTGAAACCATGGATAAGTTAAAAATCCGTGTTGTTTTCGCATGAGTTTGATCGTGGAACCAGTGTAGTACAGACAGTTTGAAATATCAACGAAGTGTATGGGAATGATGTGGCCAGTGAGTGCACAGTACGTCAGTGGTTTGAGAAGTTCCATTCTGGTAATTTTAATCTTGAAAACGAGCCACGTGAGACCAGGGTGGATAATGATGAGCTGAAAGCTATAGTGGAAGTGAATCCATCTCAACCTACGTGTGAATTAACAGGAAGGTTTGATGTTACTATTCCAACAATATTGGACCATTGGCAACAAATAGGTAAGGTAACGAAGCTGGATAGGTGGGTTCTGCATGAATTAAACCAAGTGTCAGAAGAGAAATTGTCTTGAAGCTTACTTTTCTTTGCCGTCACAACATAAAGGCAAACCATTTCTACGCCATATTGTTACATGTGATGAAAATGGATTCTTTGTGATAATCACAAGCGTTTGGCACAATGGTTGGATAAAGATGAAGTGCCGAAACACAGTCGAAAACCGAATATTCCTCCAAAAAACTAATGGTGTCTGTTTGGTGGTCCAGTGCTGGTATTATCCACTACAGCTTCATGAAACCTGATCAGTCTATTACAGTGGATGTCTACTGCAATCAGTTGGATGAAATGATGAGGACATTTGTGATTAAGCAACCAGGATTGGTCAATAGAGACAGGCCAATCCCCTTGCAAGACAACACTGGACTACATGTCACACAAACAATGCTGCTCAAACCACAGAAGCAGAACTTGGAAACTCTGTCATCACCATGTTCACCAGACCTTGCACCAACTGACTACCACTTCTTCCAGGCTTTGGACCACTTCTTGCATAGAAAAATATTCAGTTCTCAACGAGCTATGGAAAACTCCTTTTGTGATTTCATCACTACTTGCTCTCCAGGCTTCTTTGCTCTTGGCATAAATATGCTAGCATTAAGGTGACAAAACTGTGTCAAGAGTTTCGGGACATACTTTGATTAATTGTATTGCTTCTTGTTTGAGATATAGTAAACTACACTTTTGATGCAAAATCGGACATTTCATATTTAACGACCTAATATTAAACCATTGATTATTTTCTAAGTTCAGCTCTTTAAAAGATACATTAACTGTGTATGTTAGGGGCATTTAAAGTAATATAAATATGAAATTGATAAATTTCTCTTTATATGTACATATACATAATATTAATACACATACAATCTATATAAATATATTTAGTACACATAATCCATATATGTATTTAACAGAACTCAGGCAGTATTAACAGTTCATTATAAAGAGAAGTAATATGGAGGAGAATATTGTTATTTTATATCCCTGTTGATTGTTACTATGTCAATGATTATTTATAATTGTTCATACTATAACAAAATTTTACATGTGCTATATTTTGATTGTGCAGAGGTATCCTGTGGTGATGTCTACGTATCTTGGAGTTATGGGTCGAGTCCTACTACAAAACGCCAGCTTCTTTTCTTCACTTCTTAATGAGATGGCACATAAGTTTAATCAGGAGGTAAGAATTAATATACTTAAGTTTAAGGAAGTCTTTATCCACCTATCACTTGGAAATATTTGATGAAATAGTGACTCTTTGTAAAATTCCTTTTGTAGTATTTAGTAATTTTTTTGTACTCATAATTTGAGGTAGAAGAATGAAAAAGGAATCTGTAAATGGCAGTCGAAATTTTTACATTTTGTTCTTGCTCAAAATAGGTGATTTTATTCTTTAAACCATAGAATTTTGATTTGTTTATGCTTGCGGTTTTTCCTTATTGATGCATAATCTGAAACAGGGATATTTTACCTATAATGATGAACTGTCTTTGTTTCATTCCTTTAATGAAGTTATTTTTAATGCCACAGATTGAGAGAATTTCCATTCTAATTATTGTGGAAAATGACCATTTCAGCAAAGGTTTATTTAAAAAAAAAAACTGTAGGTGTGACCAACTACTAGAGTAAGTTTGGAATAGGTTTTTAGGTGAGTTGGTTACTTGAGACTAATATACATGATAAGCCAATAAGATTTTTATTTTAAGACATTAATTGCTAAGATTTGTAAGGTGTAAAAGAGTGGTCTTGACCAGTACCTCTAGAATGGAAACAATTTATGAGATTTTTTTAGAACAGATATAACTATTTCTAATATAGGAAATCAATTATAATTGTACAAATTTATAGTTAGGTAAGTTATGTTATACTTTAAAATAACTGAAAGAGTGGAATTGAAATGTTACTGACACAAAGAAATGACAAATGCTTGAGGTGATGGATACCCCAATTACCCTGATTTGATTAGTACACATTGTATGCCTGTGTCTAAACATCGTACATGTACCCTGTAAGTGCATACAGCTATTATGTACCCATAGTAATTAAAAATTAAAAATTTAAGAAAAAAGTGATTGTCAGAGGGGCATAAAACCAGCTTGGGGGTCATTTGGGAGCTCTCCTAAAAAGAGGGTAGAAGAATTAAGGTGGTCTTCTTAGGAGAGGAGAGTGAATTTCTATACAGGGGCTCTCCAGCTGGTCATTCTCCATCTGCTACCACCAACGTATATCTTATAACACAAGAAAATACATTTTTAAAAGCAAATATTTGTTTATTAAAAGCATTAAATCATCAAAAAAACCCACAATGAGATCATCTTATACCTGTTATTAATAGAATGACTGTCATCAAAAAAAATAACAAATGCTGGTGAGGATACGGAGAAAAGGGAATTCATACACCATTGATGGGAATGTAAACAAATGCAGCCATTATGGAGAATGGTATGGAGATTCCTCAAAACAAACAGAACTACCACATGATCCAGAAATCTCACTACTTGGTATATATCCATAGGAAATGAAATCAGTATGTCAAAGAGATAGTTGCAGCACCCTCATGTTTATTCAAACACTATTCATAATAGCCAAGACATGGAATCAACCTAAATGCCCATTGATAAAGAAAATGGGGTATATAAATACATAACGGAATGCTATTCAGCCATAAATAAGAGTAAAATCCTGTCATTCACAGCAACATGGATGAGTCTAGAAGACATTATGTTAAATGAAATAAGCCAGGAGCAGGAAGATAAACCACATATTCTCACTTGTATACAGAAGCTAAAAAAACTTCACCTTATAGAAGTAGAGAATAGAATAGTGGTTACTAGAGGCTGGGAAGGGTAAGGGAAACGGAAGATAGGAAGAAATTGGTTAAAAGACACAAAATTACAGCTAGATAGGAGGAATGAGTTCTAGGATTCCTCCCTGCTACCATTCCTAGCTGCTAGTAACCATCATTCTATTTGCTGCCTTCAAGAGATTGTTTTAATATTTAGCTCCTACATATGAGTGAGAACATGTGAGGTTTGTCTTTCTGTGCTTGGCTTGTTTCACTTAACATAGTGTTCTCCAGTTCCATACGTGTTGTTGCAAATGTCAGAATTTCATTCTTTTTAATGACTATATAATATTCCATTTTGTATTTATACCACAATTTCTTTATCCAAATAATGGACACTTAGGTTGATTCCATATTTTGGCTATTGTGAATAGTGCTGCAGTAAACATGAAAGTGCAGATATCTTTTCAATAAACTGATTTCCTTTCTTTTGGATATATACCTAGCAGTGGGATTGCGGGGTTATATGGTAGTTCTATTTTTAGTTTTTTGGGGAACCTCCATACTCTTCTCCATAGTGGTTGCACTAATTTACATTTCCACCAACAGTGTACAAAGGGTTCTTTCTCCATATCCTCACCAGCATTCATTATTGCCTGTCTTTTTGATAAAAACCATTTTAACTGGGGTGAGATGATATCTCATTATAGTTTTGATTTGCATTTCTCTGACGACTAATGATTGTTGAGCATTTTTTCATATACTTTTTGGCCATTTGTATGTCTTCTTTTGAGAAATGTCTGTTCAGATTATTGACCCATTTTTTTTTCCCCGACTCCTAAGTGGAACCAGATGGCCCATTCTTTAATCGTATTATCATCATCATCATTATTATTATTATTACTTTGCTATTAAGTTGTTTGAATTCCTTGTACATTTTCGATATTAATCCCTTGTCAAAGTTTTAGTTTGCAAATATATTTTCCCATTCTATAGGTTGTGTTTTCACTCCGTTAATTGCTATCTTTGCTGTGTAACTTTTTAGGTTGATATAACCCCATTTGTCTATGTTTGTTTTTGGCTGTGCTTTTGAGGTCTTATTCGTAAAATCTTCTTTCAGTTCAATGTCCTGAAGTGTTTCCCCTACATTTTCTTTTAGTGGTTTTCTAGTTTCAGGTCCTATATTTTAAGTCTTTAATCCATGTAGAGTTGATTCTTGTATATGGTGAGAGATAAGGGTCTAGTTTCATTCTTCTGCATATGGATATCCAATTTTCCCAGCACCATTTATCCATTTATTGAAGAGACTGTCCGTTCTCCAATGTATGTTCTCGGCACCTTTGTTGCAAATGAGTTGACTGTAAGTGTGTAGGTTTATTTCTGTGTTGTCTATTCTGTTTCATTGTTCTGTATCTGTTTTTATGCCACTGTCATACTATTTCGGTTGCTGTAGCTTTTTAGTATATTTTGAATTCTGGTAATGTGATACATCCTGCTTTATTTTGCTCAGGATTGCTTTGGCTATTCATGGTCTTTTGTGGTTCCATACGAATTTTAGTATTGTTTTTTCTCTTTATGTGAAGAATGTCATTGATATTTTGATAAGGATTGCATTGAATCTGAAGATCGCTTTGGGTAGTATGGTCGTTTTAACAATATTAATTCTTTCAGTTCATGAATATGGTAGTTCATTGTATTTTTTTGTGTCGTCTTTGATTTTTTTCTGATATCTTTTAATTAAGAAAAATAAGTATCGTGGATCCATGTGAACACTGGATCTGATTAAATCTGAATGCATCGTAGTGTAATATTAAATCACTTAAATGTAATTTAAACATTGATATTATTCTTTGGGCTGCCATTACCTTTAAAATATTATATCATAATACATAAAAATAGTAGTTCTTCTTGGGCAATTAAAATAGCTTAGCTTTGCTTGTCATATAATTAAAGCACCATGTGAGGGTTGCTCCAGTCACCCATTGGTAACTTTCAAGGCAAACACATTTTAAAGTTTCTTTGATTTTGGTATCACTCCTGGAACAACCTACTGTCTTGTCCTTTGCCTGCAGCTTCCTCCCATTCTCCTTTATTTTTCCATCCTTTCTTTGCTCCCCTAGTCTTGGACTTTTCTCTCTCCCCCCCTCCCCCCACCTCCTCCTCTCTCTTTGTTTAACTGAAATTGCTTTTAATTTTTTGTTTGGTAGCTTCTTTATAGCTTCTTTACAAAGCTTCTACTTGGAGGGGTGGGGGGAGTGCTCAGTATTCTTAAGTTAGATTTATTCAAATGCCCAGCCCTTTCTAAAGTCCTTTGGTTGCATAAGCAACCTATCTCCTTCAATATCTCTGTTCTCTCCTCACTCAACTAGATCCCCTTTGAATCCTTGGCCTCACTAGTGTGTGTCCCTCCTTGTATCAAATAAACATTACCCTCACTGATTCTGTATCCATATAACAACTCTGGGGTGGGTAGTCAGCAGCCCTGTCTTCCTTAGCAACATAAAATATGCCCGTGGCCTCTCCTTTCCTATTGACAAGTTGTTTGTTTTGCCAGGAAGTCAGTAACAGAAGGGAAATAATTTTATGCCTCCATCTCTAGGCTAGTGGGGTAATCCTGACCTTATAATACCTATTTCCCCCTTCTTTTCTTCCCAGTTCTATATTGTTCTTGTATCAATACTTCATGGTACGGATGCCCAGAATACATAATTCCCAGAATGCTCTGCTCTTATTCTTGATTAGACATTTGATCTTCTTAATTGGACAGCTGGGTGATATCTGTCTGTCACATTACACTGGTGAGGTTTGACTGGTTCATAAAATTTCGGCATGGCCATACTCCCAACAGTGGGAGTGAAAAGAACTCTCAGCCCTCTATTCTCTGCCTTCCCCAGGCTTTTACTTTTCCTTCTCTGCCTTCACCATCTATTCTTTACTTGTTGGGCTAGAGTCATATTAAGTCAACTGGAACATTATACCAAGGCTTAATGTACAGTAGTTTTAAAGGTATGTTCTGAACCCCTGTTATACTAATTTTAAATTCTCCAGCCCAAGGCTGATACTCAGCCGATATGTGTCATTGTAGTCATACTATTTTAAAATAGTGACATAGGTCCCACTAATTAGCAAGTATCATAAAAATGACCTTGGTATGTCCTGTGATTAAGAATAAATGTTCTAGTATGAAAAAGTTTATCATTTCTTTTAAGTATCGTAAACAAATCTTTTGAATCTGCAGGGGTACAGTGAAAAAAATGTTGGTAATAAACTGCAATTTAGAACATCTTCTGATATTTTGGACAATTTAAAGTCTACAACACTTTATAAATATATAAGGATTCAATGCAAACTAAGAAAAAGTAATCTTTATTCCTGGAATGAAAAACTCCTAATTT